ATATATATATATATATATATATATATATATAAATATACATACAAATATATTGGAATATATATTTTCTGGAAATATATATCTGACATATTTCATAATAGATGTTTTTTAGATATAGATATTGGAATATATATTTTCAGATATTTTAGTTTTTAGTTAAGTAGGAACTAAGTCGGTTCGGTTCGGGTCAGTTTCGGTTTTCACACAAGAAAACCAAAACCGACCCAAACCATCGGTTTATGAATTTGTACAACCTGAAACCAACCGGTGCTGATGAAAACCCGACCGACTCGGGTTGGGGCGGTCCGGTTTGGTCGGGTTGGGCCTTCTTATGAACAGCCCTATTAGTTACCAAGGCCTCATTTGGCGTGTCTTTTCGCACGGGCTGTCGGCTATTTAGAAGCCTGATAGCCCGTATTTTGGTCTATTCCCGTTTGGTTGGGAAAAGATCTAGCCGCCAAAAGATGCCTCCCCGAAAAGACGCGTGAAGCCTGTTTTGGGCTATTTTCGGGAAGCTCCAAATGGAGTTTTTTGACTTTTTTCATTGTCTTTGCGCGAAAAGACGATTGGGAAGACGCGCCTTATCCAAATGGACTTCAGGCTGCTAAGATCTTAATGCAAAAGCTCACATCGTCTTTTGGTTGTCAGGTCTGCTGGAAGATCTTTCAAAAAAGACTTGCCAAACAGCACCCGAGTTTACTTCCATTCTTTCTTTGGGAGTGGTTACATCTGGAAGTTTAAATCTTTCATGACTTATCAGAAAAAAGTTTAAATCTTTCATGCATCTCAAAATAGGGTTCATGGAGACATCTTATTGTCTTTTTTTTTTATCAATGCTTAATTCTAATTCCTCTGAAGATAAATAATTATTTTGCAATTCTTTATCTTGCTTTCCTTCTCTGTGTTTGTTTTTTTTTCCTTGGATAAAATTTGGTGCTGTGCATGCTTTCTGATATGTTGAAACTAATTCTTTATCTTGGATAAAACTTTTTCCAAGATAAAATTTTGCTATTCTTTATCTTCCATTCTTACTTTGCATGCTTCAGGTCCATGATTTGGAGGAGAGCAGTCAAGAGTTGAAACTAATTCTAGAAATGTATAGACGTGAAACAACTGATTCCAGGTTTGTTTAGATCTTGTATCTACTAATAACTTTTCATCATTTTCTTTTGTGGAGGGGGTTACTTGTTGCATAATCCTTTTCATTAGCTCTTTTGATGCTTTGGTTATTGTTTTTTGGTGGTTTGGAATTTTGTGCTTTTATTGTTATCACTTTCGTTTGCTTTATACTTTTGAATAAATTTCTGATATGTTTATGTGAATTACTGTTGGATCCTCCCATGTGCAAGGCTTTTTAGAAGTTGAGCTTTCTACCAGGTGATAGGCTGAATGGCCTATGCATACATGGGCAAGCATGCATTTCACATTTGCATGTCTACACACACAAAATCCTAGATGTGTAACAAATAACATGTGCATGTATAAAACCTTTATCTGGTTTTCTATTTTATCTTTCATCATGCACAGCAATACACTTTCACTTCCCTACTGACCTATTATCCTCAAAATAAATAAAAATAAATACACACGCACACACATTCACATACACCCACATCAACATTCAAAGATGAGGAATCACAAAGAAAGAAGAGAAAGATAACCCAAAAAAGTTAATTGTTACTCCAACTCTTGAAGTTGGTTGATTAGAATGATAAATCTTCTTATGTGATAATTGATTAAAAATTTTATCTTATCTCTGATCCCAGGGATGTTATAGAGGCTAGGGATTTGGAATACAAGGCATGGGCACAAGTTCAAAGTCTTAAATCTTCTCTTGATGAGCACAGCTTGGAGATGCGTGTTAAAGCAGCAAATGAATCTGAAGCAATATCTCAACAGAGGCTGGCAACAGCAGAAGCTGAGATTGCTGACTTGAGACAGAAATTGGAAGCCTCTGGGAGGTAATATTATTTTGCATATCACTTAATTATTTCATGACTATTGTGAAATAAATAATTATCTCAGGGTCTTTGTACAGCTTTGCTTTAGGACTCTTGACTCATGATGCTAATTGATTTTAATGGTGCACTATCTTCCAAAATTCACTCTGTTTCCAACTATCTTCTAACTTTGATGTTTGTTTGTCTTGATGACTTTGAAGTCTTAGTGTCTATTTTATGTGATGTTAGTTTTGTCTATATTGGCATTTTGTAATTATTGCATATTAGCAATAGACAAAGAACTTTTCTCTATGAAGAATCATTTATCTTTTCTTTCTTGTTCATTCAGGGAAATTTCTAAACTATCAGAGGCACTGAAATCTAAACACGAGGAAGGTGAAGCCTATTTATCAGAGATAGAGGTTGGTCTCTTTTGTTTTTACTAGATTTGAGTTGTATGCTGTAAATTTGAGAATGTGGAGCAGAACTGATACTGTGGTTTTCCATGTAGACAATTGGACAGGCATATGAAGATATGCATAATCAAAACCAACATCTTTTGCAACAGATCACAGAGAGGGATGACTACAACATCAAGGTCATAGCTTTTTTCTTCCATGTCCCTTCATCTATCTATGCAACTATGTTCATTTTATTTTTTAGCAAAAATTGTTTGCCATGATGAAAAGGGAATATGAGCATTTTATTCTTAGGGTTCAAGTTCTATTTGTTTTTCCTCTTCACCTTTATGTTAACATGGTTTCTACGATATAATTGTTTCATGACAGTTGTAAATCAAATTAATCTCATTATAATGCACACTCAGAAAAAAAGTATTTATGTTGATGTGGCAATTCTATTATAATTTTTGCTGATGTGGAAATTCTAGAAACAAATGAAAACAAAAACATTGATGCTATAGAAGTATAGAACGCCCCTTTAGTTGCTAAGAGGCATTTTAAAAAAACTCAAAGGTTGCACCAAATGAAATTTAACCTCTGAAAAGTCATGTTCTCAGAGCTTAGAGATTCATTAAGTTCAAACAGGCACCCCTTTATCTCCTCTAAAAACCTTTGTAGCTACCACAATCCACGGTATCAACATCTAGATATGTGAATTCAACCCCAAGATGAGATAACTTAGTTTAATCAAATTCTAAACTCCCAATAGGTCCAGTTTATAAAGAAGTAACTTCTCCTTCCTAGTCTCTTATAGAAGTAAGAACCTCCCAGCTCCCTCTCCTGACTTTCCCTCTCAGCTAAAAGTTAGGAATTTGGTATCCAACTCTGGGGTACCTCTATCCTCATTGATAATTTTTTTTTTTTGATCAATAACACTTTCATTCAATCATCAATAGAAGATTTACAAGAGGAAGACAAACACACTTATCTTCCAAGAGCAGCAGAGAACCTCAAGAAAAGGAGAAAAAGAAAAAGAAAAAAAACACTAAAGTTACAGCTTAGCCCAAAACAGTGAATCCCTTTGTGCCCCTTGTTTAGCTAAACTGTCAGCTAGGGAATTTGTCGATCTTTTAACCCAACATGTCTTAACTTCCATCTCTTGCACCAGCCACTTGAATTTCCTCCTCTCATTATTGTACTTCCATAAACCATTGTGCTCTTTAATCAGCCACCCTATCACCACCTCTGAATCCCCTTCAATTAAGAGTTTCTTGATGTTCAATTCCTTTGCTTTCTGGACTCCTTCCATAACTGCAAAATCCTCATTGATAATCTGACAACATAAATTTGACTCTATACTTTAATGTTTTCCTTGAAGTGCCTTCCTATTGATAATTTGAAGATTTGGTACAATTACTGGCCTCAGATTGCAATCAATACGGGAGAAATAAATTCAAGGTTATAGGAGACAGATTGATCAAAAAAAGGGTTATAGGAGACAGACATCAGTGGTGTGTTTTTGTTAAAGTTGTTTTGTAACTCCTTGTTAGGCCCTTCAATGGACCTTTTCCTTTGGAAATGGAGGTGGATGAAGCACATGTGCCTGCAAAATTATCTTTCCTCATGGACTTCAGCCATTGATAAAATTCTCATGTTTAGGGGAGGGCCATTGAAAGTAGGTATTGCCTTTATGGTTCTGAAGTTGATTATTTGTTATCCATGCTTTTACACACTTGCATTCTATTTGGTTGCAAAGAAACTAATAGAAAAGAAACGAAAATAAAATAAATAGAAAAAGAAATAAAATAAATGAAGATTTTCTTTTGGAGTCAGTGGGGTCAGTTTTGCTTCCTCTCACTCTCCATCTGCTTTCTCCACCTTTTGAGAGAATAAAAAGAGATCAAAGAGAATCTATCTACCTATTTGTTTTTTAACTTTCTTCTTTTTTTCAACTTGGTTTTTCTTTTCTTCCAAACTAAAGATAGTATCTTTTAATTTTTCGTCCATTACCTTTGAAACCAAATGCAGTGTTAGTGTATGGTCCCACTTTTTGCAGCTGTTTTTGATTAAGTTGTTACTGGCCAAGGACATTCTTGTGTTGTTCTGATGGCCAGTTAGAGGTTTCACAGCTATTTTGTGTAAACTTCAAAATGGATGTTGTGTCTATATTTGTCACTTCAATTTTTAGTGCAAAGTGCATGTTCGACTGCCAGGTTGTCTCCTTGCTATGTTCATGTAACACGGTTTCATGGCTGGACGAGCAATCTTTTGGAATCTCTTTCCACTTCTTTGTGCTGGATGATATGGAAGGAAAGGAAAGCTTATATTTTTTATTTTAAAGGATCCAATCCTAATCCTTCAAAGGGAAGATGGTTTGCTGGGTTTTGATCCCTAAGGATTGACCATGTATGATTTTTGTAATGTACATTTTAGTAATACAGTTACACCATTATCAAAATAAACATGTAAAGTTACACCCTCTTTTCCATTTAAAAGATTTCATGTCATTTGATTTTCACAAAATAGTGACGCCAGATGTGTGTTTGACACATTCTGAAGCTTCTATGTCGAGTATAGTGTATATATGGATGGTATTGTTTTTTCAGTTACTATCGTATTATATATTGACTTACTCTCATCAGAGGCTGCACCCAAGCATAGCCTGCCATTTATGAAAGCCAGATTCCACTTGTGGTTGAGAGACAAGTCATGTGGGCTCCAGAGAGTTGGATAAAGGAGGTCAGAGGGACTAAATCCTTGGTTGACAATTTGATCCATTGTTCATCTGGGTCTTGAATTCTAATAATATGATAGCTGATGGACTCACAAAGGCAAGGGTTTGGAAGGTGATTTGCATTGGTTGGCCAAGACTTGGGGGTGTTAATGTGACAATTTGAATCATTTGATCCATTGTTCATTTGGGTCTTGAATTCTAATAATATGGTAGCTGATGGACTCACAAAGGCAAGGGCTTGGAAGGTGATTTGCATTGGTTGGCTGAGACTTAAGGGTGTTAATGTCCCTTTTTTTTTCCTCCCGTAATCACTCTATTTGTAGCTTTCTGTTTGTGTGTATCTCTGTTCAGTACCTTGTTCTCATACATAGACTATTATTATTGTGAAACTGGTATTCATGCTTTACTGAGACTTTTCTTGGTGATTTTATTTCACTATACATTAAAACTTCTATTATACATATTTTGATTGTAAGAATGTGTTTGTGGGGAATTGTTTGCTAATGGATGCAGAGGCAATGCTATACGCACACCAGCATGCTGCATGATGTTCAACTTATATTTTTCATGAGTTTTCTAGATTGGTCTTTCTGAAAACTTTTTCTTACCATCATGTAATTAACTCTGTCTATCCATGTTTCAGCTTGTTTTAGAGGGCGTAAAGGCAAGACAGCTGCAAGATGTGTTGCTTGTGGAAAAACAAATCATGGAGAGGGAGTTGCAACAAACTAATATGTCATTGGATTTGTATGATGTGAAAGCTGCACGGATTGAAGATCAGGTATTTAACAGCTTCAGTCTGATAGCAAAATTAGCCCAGTTTGTGAATTCTGAGTTAACTACTTGCTTTGCAGCTCAAAATATTCTCAGAGCATGTTGAGAAACTTGCAGAAGATCGCTGTCAGAGTTTATCTACTTTGGAGAACACCCAAAAGAAACTTGCAGATGTGAAGAGAGAATCTCAACAGCTAAAGGAGTCATTGGAGGAATCACAGTCCAAGGTAGAGATGAGACGTGTGAATGTTGCAGAACTGCAGGTAGAACTTGAGATAGAGAGGTAATGAATCATGCAATCCACCTCCCTTTCATTTATTACAAATTTAGTGTGTGGGACTTACATGTTTTCCTATCTATATCAGGTTTGATAAGAAAAGAATAGAGGAAGAGTTGGAAGTCATGACAAGGAAAGCTACACGTCTGAGTTCACAGACTGAGGGGTCATCAGTCCTTGAAAAGCTTCAGCAGGAAGTAAGAGAATATAAGGAAATACTCAAGTGTAGTATCTGTCATGATAGGCCAAAGGAGGTAAAGATCTGGCTTCAATCTTTAATAAGTAAACTGTTATGTTACATGGGATAGTTTTCAATGTTTATGATGCATGCCACTATTTCCCTGTTATATATATGGGATGGTCTCCAGTAGTCCAGTGTTCGCTGCATGCATTTAAGAATTGTCATGCATGTGCACTAGAAGTTCATGTATGTCTACAAGCTACAATAGAAGGGAGAATATCAACAAGCCTAATTCATTCCTTGTGCAACAGACAGCCATAACAACTTAGACCGAGTTTTTCTGCTTGGAACAGTTATGACATGTCCTTGCATCGAAGTCTTAGGGGGCATTTTTATAAGAGCCTTAAGTAGCTGGACTTATTACGGAATCTTTCAGTGAATAAATTATTAAGTAGATTATGAGCTCCTTAATGGCTGAAATTGAAATTGGGTTAATTACTATATGCTCAAATACTTTATTATTTAATTATTTCATCCACCAAAAATACTAATCAACAAATTGTTCAGTAAAACTACTTCATTGATGGCCCCTTGTAGTTCTGCTCTTGCTTTTTAGAACATTTGAGGCTTGTGCTTATACCTCTTGTTGGCCCGTAGGTTGTCATCACTAAATGCTATCACCTGTTCTGCAACACCTGCGTCCAACGAATACTTGAAACTCGCCAGAGGAAGTGTTCAGTATGTGCTGTGAGTTTTGGCCCTAATGATGTGAAAGCTGTCTACATATAACTGATATGAGAAGAAAATGCGTTAGTTGAGAAACATATCCACCGTGCCTTTTCTCACGCACACAACTTCCAAGAATGAGTCTGGCTTGCTTCTACGTCAGCAGTTGTATGGATATATAGCTGGGAATTCTGTAAAGAAAAATGGAGGGGAAAATGTAATGAGGAATTACTTGGAGGCTTTTTCTGCTTCCTCTTGCACCTATAGCGAGCTAGCTCATATGTGCAGGTTCTGGTTTTAGGGTGTGCTTTCCCATCAGCTTCTTGAGTTTTACCATATATGTGTAAAGTTTGGCTTCCTCATTTAACTGCTTGGAGCTTTTGGAATGTCTCAATTGATTATTTGCAGATCCACCAGATTGAGCCTGCCATTTTCCGAAGATATCATGGAGGTTGAGTGGTCGGTAAATAAAAATTTCGTTACAGTGCTCAACCAAATGCTTTCTACTGTGTTTCTTGCAAATTGCTTGGGAATGGCATTGTTGATTGTTGTATCTCAATGCAGAGGTCTAGCTCCATTTGGTTGGATGAAATTGAGTTTATAATTTTGGCAGTTATGGGGACATGCTAATTAATTCATTTTTATGTACCAATAATCTTTCCAATCAGATGCTGCCCCCGAAGTGTACCCCTGAACCGGCCGAGATTTTATACAAATTGTTCTAAGAGATCTTTTTTTTCCCCTCGTTCTTGTGTTTTTATGTTTTTCATTTTTTTTTATTGTTCATCCTGTATGCTTCTAGTGTATCAGTTGTTGCATCCACTTATTTGTTCAAGTTTATTGTCTTGAGAGTTTCGAGGCTTTGCAATTTATAAGGTTCTTCTCAGTTCTCACTTTTATTTTTTCTTGAGTTTCATCCACGTATTTTACATCCTATCCGCTTCATAAATTGTTGCATATGGGTCTAGCCATTTTTGGTGTTGAGGGAACGGGCGGATCGGTTGATGGAATGCACGTTCTAGGAACTTTTTTTTTCCGTTACAATTAAGAGATGATTCATTAAAAATGGGAAGCACTTTCTAGCGTGTAAATACAGATCTCTAAATGTATTTAGGTAGTAATCTTTATTTTAATTCTCGAGGTGTTTTCTCATGGAAATACAATAATGGATCTATTAATATTCAAATGTATAGATTTAATATTTTTTTCTAATTTTTTGCCCAAGCTTTTGTAAGGGGTTTAAAACACACGTCACTACCTAGAATTTATGGATCAAAGTTATCAAACTCTTGACAAGCTCGATACTCAATTTCCATGTATTGACCATGTCAAAGCATCAATATTTAGAATGGACATTGCCCTTTAAAAGTTGACTTTAACCAAGACTCCTTGTATTTCAATATTCATTGTATGATAATGTATGATATATAGGGATATTTTGAACCAATGTCAATGTTTTTGAATTGTTGTTGACTCAGATGATTGGACTGTTTAGTCCAAAAAGTGTCCTGGCAACTGATTCCATTTCACCCTTGACCCGTTCTTAGGCCAAAACCTGTTGACTTGGTCAAAGAAATGCTTACCCAGGTGGGTGAACTGTAGACCTGTTTGACTTGGACAGTGGTTCATGGGTATAGTAGAGAGAGAAGAACTGATGTAGCGCAATCTGATTGCCCCCAACTGGAGGTGGTCTGGCTTCTAGTAGACAATAGATTCAGTTGATCTGCAAAAAGCGAATCAGAGAACTCGGGGTTGTTTACTCGGCGAGGTCGCTTCGATGCTTAAGTCAGTACTAGGTTGCGAGCTGATGATAGCTTAGAATGCAAGAGAGCTAGAGAGCAGAGATTATGCATACCTTTCACCCTTGGGGGGTGGAGCCTTTATATAGTAGAGCCTTCGCGGGTTTCGCAGAGTGGTTCCGGGATCCTCATTACAATGAGGTCCGTTTCCGCGTTAATTGGGGATAACGTTGCCAACTGGTAAGATTCATCACTTCTGCTCGAATCGGACGGGGGAGATAATGTTAGCTGTTACGAGGCGTGATCCTGTAAGGTGTTGAATTTGGTGGCGAGATTTTTGGGGTTGCCATGCAGTGGTCGGTCAATTTTACCCGAGCTAGTGCCCTTTGGATCCGACCTGGTATGAATGCCGAAGTGCCTTGGGACCAAGGTGGTCTTGATGCGATCGTGCCCCGAGGTGAACTTGTCTCGAGGTGGGCTTGCCCCGAGGTGGTTTGGTTATCCGAGCTCGATTTGTTGCAGACTTGGTGCGTAGGACTGAGCTGTCATCCTGCTAATTAGATTGTGTCCATGTGTCCCCCTATTACTAGGTCAGGCCAAATCACCCTACATCAATTGCCCCCCACTCCCCGAGCCAGGGGCCCTGACCCAGTGCGGGGAGTTCATGACGAGCCAAGTGGATTTGGTCCGAGGTCCATGTAGCTAGCTAGATGAATCACGAGTTGGACTTGTTCGGCTTCCCGGCTCAACCAGGAAAAACCCAGGTCACGTCTGGCCTACGCGTGGACGTCACACGATCTATAAACTCCGCGGACATAAAAAAACGCGCTAAACCAATTTTATCCTTGGGGGTTGCGCAACCAGTTTTCCTGGGAGCCGTTGGATTGCTTTGATCTTGACCGTTATTTTTTGGACATAGCGGCTATAAATAGGGGGTCCGTGACTCATTTTTCTCGCCACAAATTCTGTGATTGAGCTCTCCTGAGGTCGTGTCAGAGTCTTTCAGCTCGCTTTCTCTTTGTGTTCCGTGGTCGTCCTTCTTTTTGGTGAGTTTGTGTTTTCCTTCGTTTGCTTCTCCTTTGCTTTTTAATCATGTCTAGTTCTAGCGTAGATAGGCTTTTAGGTAGCTGTAGTGAGGTTGAGGGTGTCGTGGTGCAATCCGCGGCCCTTGTTGGGGAGGTCAACTCGCCACAGGGTGACTCCCCTCTTCAGTCTTTAGAGGAAACTTCCATTCCTGAAGTTGAGCCATCTCGGCTCGGGGAGACTGAGGTTCGGGAAGAGGGACCGTCCTCTAGAACGGAGGCCCCATCTTCTTCTTGGGGTTGGGACCTAGATGACTTCGGTCCGTCTACTTTGACCTCGGATAGGCTAATGTACCTAGTAGCTCGCTATCGTCTTCCCGATAGCTTAGTCTTTAGTCTTCCTCTAGGTCAATATCCTTGGGCTCATGATCACCATGAGCTTGCGGTCTTTGACGAACAGCTCGCGGCCGGGCTGCGCTTCCCGCTTCACCCCTTCATCATAGAGGTAGTTAAGTTTTTTAACATCACCATCGACCAACTACACCCGAACTCTATCCGGAATATAGTTGGTACTATCTTTTTGGTCCACAAATATAATCAGCCTCTGTCCCTAGATACCTTTAGCTCAATCTGTGCGATCAAGTGAAATTATGCTTGTCTGCACGGGGACGTCAGACAAAGCTATTACATCTCACCTCGGCCTGGGTTCAAAATCCTGTTTGGCTGCCCGAACAAGGTTTCGGCCTGGAAGAGGAGGTACTTTATTGTCCAAAATCTTGAAGGGTGGTCTTTTCCAACTCACTGGAGGGTGGTTATCAAGGATCCCGGGGTGAGCTTAGATGCAGAAACTAGGGCAGTTATCAACTCGTGGAGGGACCTCAACCTCGAAATGAAAGATTTCTTGGCCGAGGAGAAGCTTGTGCGAGTTGGTCTGAGCCCTCCTGGTAGGTTTCCATCTTGGTTTTTTACTTTAATGTTCTCTTTAATTCGCGACTAACCTTTTGCTCTTGTAGTTACCATGCCGGAGGTCAATGCCAAGGACCTTCTCAAGAGCGTCCAGAGAGGGAAAAAGAGGAATGCTTTGAAGAAGCCTCGCCGGGAGGCCAGTCCTTCAACCCCTTCCTCATCCGAAGTCCTTGCCGTGGAGCCGATCTCTACCGAGCTCCCCGAGGAGGAGGTCCGTCCTCAACCCCCCGTAGTGGACCTGGATGATGACCAGGAGGAGGATGCTCAGCCTCATGAACCGGGGAGCACTTCTGTACCCGAGCAGAAAAGCGTCCAACCTCACAGGCCGGAGAGCGCTTCTGCATCGAGGCCCAACTCCTCCAAGGAGAGCATAATGACTCTTCGGCTCAGAATGCGCAAGAGCAGGGATGCCATCTTTCCTGACGAGGTCGTGGAGTGGGCTGACATGTCTACAACCATGCTCGGAAGCCGAGCTGCCGTTTGTTAACCCCCAAGTCAGCAGTTTGTTAACCAAATCAATGGTTTTTGGCCGAAAGGATGGTTCTGGGGTAAAATGAAACCGGTTAGGTCACCGGTAAAATGGTTTTACAACCATCTAGTCCGGTTTTGAAAACCATGATTCTGTATGTATTTGTACTGTACATATTTGTATTTGTACTCCAAAAGTACAAGTACAAATACATATTTGTATTGGTACTTTTACAGGTTAGGTCACCGGTAAAAGTACAAATACAAATATGTACAGTGCAAATACAGGTTTAGAAATATAAAATACAAGATTTTGCACTATACATATTTGTATTTACACTCTTTCCAAATTGAAATTAGTGCAAATGCAAATATATAGAGTGCAAAACCTTGCATTTTGTATTATTTTGTATGTATTTATACCAACATATTTGTATTTGTACTCTTCCCAAAAGCTTAGGCTGTGTTTGGTTGTAATGCAATGCACTAGTACAAATGCATGGGAGTGCAAATGTAAAAAATGCAAATTCTTGTTTAATTTTGTTTTGGGTTTTACTTTATTCTGCTTCATGTCAATTTACTTTATTTGTACTACAGTCAAACAAAATAAGCTAAAATTTGAAACAAAAATAGGTCAGAATTTACACTCAAATCATTTGCATTGCCATGATTTTGCACTAGTGCAAATTTATTTGCATTGCAACTAAATACAGCCTTATGTTCAGTTTGGAAGGAGTACAAATGCAAATATATAGAGTACAAAACCTTGTATTTTGTATTATTTTGTATGTATTTGCACTGTACATATTTGTATTTATACTCTTTATCAAGGCCTCATTTGGTTCGCAGGAATAGGGGTCCAGAATCGGAATTGGAATAGACTATTTCGATTCCAATTGTTTGGTTGGGTGGAATCGGAATCCCAATCCCATTCCCATTCCTGCTGGAATGGCATTCCCCCATTTGAAGGAATGACCATTCCCTGCCCCTCCCTTGGGAATGAAATCTCATTCCTGCTGATTCCAATTCTTATTCCTATTCCTGTCTGAACCAAGTAGATTATGGTAATAAACCCAATTCTAAAGAATTCAAATTCTGATTCTGACTATAAACCAAAGGGACCCTACAAATTTTTCCATCCTCTCATTTATCTTTAAGCTGCATTTGTTTTAAGTGTAAATTCAAATTTACACTGGAGATATGGTTAAACTACTAATTTTCTTTTCTGGATACAACGCAATGATGTTTGTTGAAGATTCATTCCATTTTGATGGGCCCAACAGAAAAGATGGGACCCATGGAAGGAGCATGGTACGAAACACAAATAGGCACGCATGATGCATGGGCATACTTTATGCGACGGGCCAATTAAGAATTGCACAAAGTGATTTAGGCCCATCTCCTTTTTTTAAAGGGCTCAACCTGAAACAAAAAAGTACATAGTTGAAAAGACAGAAGCATCGTTTTTTTTTGCTTTATAATTACATGCACTGGCTCCTTTTGTCTATTAGTTGCAATTAATATATGATGTTTGTACAGAGACCACTACCAATCTACCATGCATTTCTTTTTCTTTTGCTTTAAAGTTAGGAACATTGGGAAAAGCTTTTGACCAATAAGCTTCACCCGTGTGATCTGCTTAACCTTAAAGATTCTTATG